AAAAGATAAAATTTCAAATTTTTCAGTCTAAAATGAAACTATTTGACATAATGGATAATATGCTAATGAATTTAATTGAATTAACCCATATTGTGATATCACTTTATTTCAAATGAGTATATAAGTGTGTGTGTGTGTGTGTGTGTGTGTGTGTGTGTGTGTGTGTGAATGCCTGCTTTACCATAGTAATGTGGAATATCTTAGTTATTTTTGCTACCTATGTAATATCTTGGTAGTGGAAATGCAGCAAACAAAGCTGATAATTGAAAGAAAAAAACAAAAACAAATTCCAGTTGTCACAATACAATAGAATCTTTTTGTTTTTTTTTTAAGTAAGGGAAATTGTGTGGTATGGTGAAATGGCTCAGTGGTTAAGAGTGCTTGCTGCTCTTGGGAAGGATCCAAGTTCTGTTCCCAGCATCTCAGTCAGGAAGTTCAGGATCATTTGCAATCCCAGCTTCAGCTCCAGGGGGATTTGATATCTCTGACCTCCCCAGGCACTTACATTTGCCAAATGTGCATGCACAGTCATGCCTGCCTGCACACACATACACACAAATAAACAAATCTGAAAAGAATAGAGAGGAAAACATACCTTAGAAAAAGTTCTAATTGAGACACCTTACTTTGGATCATGATTTCTTGAAAGCCTGGTATGATAAACTTGAACACAGCAGATTGTAATATAAATCCTTGTACTCAGTATTGAGGCCCTCCGAGCGGGATGTGCTGACAATATTGATGGGAGAAGGATATCTCTATGAGCAGAGAGAAAGCTTACATTTTGGATTGACTAATTGGGTATTCCAGAATTCTGCGTTGTGAAAGAACATGGCAATAGCAACCAAAGACAAGCCGTTTGCTTCTGTTTGCTGAGATGAGCACACAAAAGGGTGGGTTGCATTAGGCGGACTGGAGAAGTAGTCATTGGTCCTGATCACAGCCTACAGGAAAGCCGAAGTTTCTGAATGTCAGTATGAAAAGAGTAATGAAGGGAAATGCTTGCTTACAGTGGAAATGACTGAGTTCCAGTTGTCAGAGAATCTTGCTCGGTTCACTCAGTTAGCAGACACGGCAGATTAACACGGTTAAAATGTTGGAAAATCTATATACTAAGAAGACACGCCATGGCCAGGGTCACTCTTTGTAGGATTGTGCTGAGGAGACAGGGAAGGCTAAAAAGTATCTCAATGGAGATGAGCAAGTCTTCCCCAGAGTGCTTTCCTTTTATTTTCATACAGTTTAGAAATCATTTAAATTTACGTAGCATATAATTGCTGTTGGATACTATTTAGATCAGTAAATATAAAATAAAATCAGAGAAGACCGCAGTTTTACCAGTTTCCATGTAGGTATATCTATAGGTACATATGTATCTTGTACATGCAGGTACATGTGCACCTGATTGCACACATGAATCTTTTACTGTCTGACAGATAGCCTAACAGATTCAGCTAGACGAGCTGGCCATCAAGCCTCAGGGAGATGTTTTTAGCACTGAAGTAATAGCTTTTGAGTAGACACACAGCCATACAGACAACTGAAGAAAATTGAATTCCAATTTGTCACAATATAATCAAACATTTAAAAAAACAACAACAAAATGTTGCTAAGAAGAATTCTAGCTCATATCCTTCATTTTCGTCATGTTTTCTCCAGCTGTCCATGGGCCAATCTAACCCAATCTCTACTTTGCTGGCACCGTGACTACGGGCTCATCCTGCCTCACCCACTGTTTCCTAAGTGCTGGGTACCTTAACTCAGATCTTCACACTTGATTGGAAAGCCCTTAACTCATTGAGAAACCTCCCTGGTCCTAGTTTTGGCCATTTCCAAAGCAAATCCTCAGTCCTTCCCGCTTTCCATAAACTACAGAAAAATTATTAGGAAATGAACTGTGAATAAATAAACAAGTGAGTTACTTAATTGACTTCACACAGAACTTAATTTCACACAGTATAACTTGAGGATTGTTTAATAAATCAAGAAAACTGTGTGTTCTGACTTTTCCCTGGTAAATTTAGCAAATTAAGTGACTAATTTTTCTAAGTTAAGAGGTTCGCCTGTGTCACAATTGTAAGATTTGGTACAAGTTTATTATAAGTTAAATTAGTATATCCAAGTGAAACTTTTAAGTAAGAATATATTAAAACAAACTAAATTTTAAAATTATCTGTTCCATTTAATTACTTGTGATCAAGCAATTCCTAAGGACTTTTTCTCTTTTCAAAAAAATTGCTATATTCACAGCTACCAAAAGTAAGTATCAACACATTCTTTAATATTTAAACAGGAGACAGATAAAAAGAAGGTACAACAGCCATCTCACTAGCCCAGAAATAAACAGGCAACACATCCCACAGTGTCACTGAGCATCAGCAACATAAAGCAAAGGAAAGCAGCCCATGAATCACAATTCCAGAGAACATAAACAACAACGAGGACCCTAAGAGAGACATACATATACCTAATCTACATGGGAAGTAGAAAAAGACAAAATCTCCTGAGTAAATTGGAAGCATGGAGACCTTGGGAGAGTGTTGAAGGGGAAGGCAGAGGTAAGGAGGAGAGCAGAGAAAAATATGGAGCTCAAAAAAAGGGGGGGTACAGCCACCTAAAGATCCCCAGCATCAGGATGGCAAAGCTCACATGGACATTTATGCCACCTTTGAGCTTGTTCAATGCAGGTATTTGGTGTAACACAGAATTCAATGGGTTGATCTTCAGTGGGTCAGTCTGGAGAGAATGATAAATATGGTCTGTCTTGCTGACAGGAAGGATGTTTTCACATTCCATTGAACTGAATTATGCTCTATCAGGCAGAGCTTTCTCTCTGGTGAGGATTCTTAGAAAAAGCCGTAATGTGAACTCATTTCAAAACAAAGACCAAAAGGACAGTTGCAAATTAAAACCATAATAAATATTAAATAAGAATTGGATGACATTTATTTTGCTAAGTAAATAAATTCTTTTTAGATTAAAATATATCACCACATTCTTAACTATAAATATATTCAATTATAAAAATTAAGGGAAGTATAAATATCCTTAATACCAATAGACTGACAAAACTAATTTAAATTTCTATGCAAAAAGATTTTAAGAGTCCTATATATTAAATATAATCAGTATAATCAGAATGATATTCTGACTTAAATTTAAAATGATCTCAATCAAATTTAGCCCTAAGTCATGAGTAACTGGTAACTGGGTTGATGATTCAACGCTTGTTACACAGTTTTAAGGGTCTGAGTTCATATCCCCCAAATTCTAGACAAAAACTGAGTGGAGTCACTTATGCACCTGTAACCTTAGTGTTTGGGGAGGTTGGAGCTACCTCTACAGATTTCTGGGGGTGGATGGCCACCAGCCTCATTACAGGTTCAGTGAGAAAGTTTGTTTGGAGGAGATAAAGCACTGAATGACAGAACAGGACACCTGTTATCCTCCTCTAGCCCCTTTGTGCCCCAGGCATGCACACCCACAAGCATACATAGACACATACTACACATATATACCACACATACACTCACTCACACACACACACACACACACACACAGAGAGAGAGAGAGAGAGAGAGAGAGAGAGAGAGAGAGAGAGACCAAAATTATATTTAAAAAGGTAAAGGTAAATGAACTGTTTTATGAGGGAGGAAAGAAGAAGAGTAAAACAGTTGGTCACAGCATTTACGAAGCTTCTTTGGGTCATGCTCTGGGCTGAAACTGCTTGGTCTTGAAAATGAATGTGCTGTAAAGGACAAATAAAACAGACAGAAAAGTATTCCTATTGAGGGAAAGACTCTGAACAAGATTTTATTGACGTGGTACTTGCCAAATCAGACATCTTTGGAGTGACCTAATCATGCATAGCTGAACATTTTCCTCAAACACACTCAAGATCACTGGATAGGCTTACATGGCACAGAAAAGTTTTTGTGCTCAAGGTTGCCATTTATTATAGGGAAAGAAAATGAATCAGAAGTAGGATTGGGAAAAGATTCATAGGCTGTAGCCCAGCAGACCTTGTGAGACCAGGACTAGCTTCCAGCTGTTCTCTTGGCATCAATGTGTGACAACACAAGAAACTCACCCTGCTTTGATGTCTAGGGTTCGCCTTGAGGATCAGTCCTGCAGGGATGAATATGGCTGCCATAAATCTTATTTGTATCTCAAGCTCAAAGTCTCCAGAAGTCAACCTATTCAGAACAGACCAGGAATCTATCCTGGAATAAACTCTGACATTCCCAATATGTCACATTATCAGCATAGTCTCTCTTGTATAGCCCAAGAGTTAAGATCACCCTTTAATCGAGCAGGTTATACCAGGTATTAATGTGTTGGTTCTCAATCTGTGACTTGCAACCCCTTTGTGGTCAAATGACCCTTTACAAGGGTAGCATATCAGATATCCTGCATACCAGATATTTACATTAAGATTCATAACCGTAGCTAAATTACAGTTATGAAGTAGCTGTGAAAATAATTTATGATTGGGGGTCACCATGATATGAGGAACTGTATTAAAGGGTTGCAGCATTAGGAAGGTGGAGAATCATTAGGTTAAAGTTATCCCATGGAAGCTGTTTGAAGACTTCAAACCTCTGAGTTTACTACACAATCAAGAGTTTATGAGATGCGGTTACATAAATGAATGAGAGATGTTTTTAAAATGATGGCTACAAATGATTTCTATGCATTTATTTTAGTGAATAACTGGGAAAATGAGGGAAAGAAATCCAACACTATGTAATAGTGATTTGTTTATTTGCTTTGAGTCACATCAGCGTTGTGTAGTGTGGTAGGCGTTGGGAGTGATGGCTTGCTCTGTGTGATGCTGACAGTGGAGCAGAGATTGAGTGGGTGAAGTCACTTAGTGAATGGTACATTGAGGCTGTACTCAGCTGGAAATCTGAGAACTGTCTATTTACCAGTCTTTTTCTTTTTGTTCCCCTCCCTACATGCTATGCTTCCTCTCTCCAACCACAATGGGGTCTTCGAAGATGCTCTAGTGGATTTGACCGCCATCGGCAGGACTGGGTGGACAGTGGATGTCCAGAAGAAGTGCAGGTGTGTTCTGCTGTAAATCACGGGCATCAGTTTCACATAGTGCATGACACTGTCACTTAATTAGAGTGGCATCTATTGGAGTTCTTTAATAAAACTCAAAACATTGAAAGTGAATTCTTAATGTATGCCAATCATTAGGGATAATGGCTTGCATGTATTACCACACTTTATTCTTACCCTCCTCTGAAGAGATACTGTTATTGTCATGAAGAAAAGAAGGGTAAAGGAATAGGGGATTGAAGTGTTCATGAGAGCTCCCAGCACTAGGTACCTATATAGAGAACAACAGATCCGGATTTGAACATGTATGCACAAAAAAGCAGATTTCCTAAATATTTCCTCTTTTTTGTCTTTTAAGTAGTCGTTGCTCCTCTTTTAATATCATAGAAAAATAATTGTTTGAGGGAAAGGTTGATTCTAGTGAACTGCTATGCTGTAATAAGCGAGAGTTGGGTCATGTGATTACTAGTTTTTTACATGAAAAAAAGCAATTTTAACTTGACTAAAGTTTCCCTGAATCTTACTGCCAGTCATTTCAAAGTCCTCTAGGTTTTATATGTGCATTAAGTATTTCTTGTCCCTTATTAAATGTGAGTATCTGTATGAATATATGTGCACTACATGCATGTTATGCTCACAATGGCCAGAAGAGGGCAGCAGGTCCCTCCATTAAGAGAGTTGCAGGAAGTGGTGAACCTTCTGCTGTGGGTGATAGAATTGAAGCTTCAATTTTATCTAAGAACAGTGTGCTTTCTCTCCAGATCCCTCTTTCGTTGAATTTTAAAATATAAAGTTTAATGGCAGTTAACAGTGACACACTAGAGACTCTAGTCAAGTCCCAGTCATAACACAGGAGCCACTAGGAATATCGTGGATTACTAGGAGCTTTGTGAAAAACACTTGAGTTTGTATAGCTCATAGAGGTCTCGAGAAATGCTCCTCTGAGAAGATTCTGGGGCCCAAAATGCACCTCAGTATGTGAGGCCCTCAGTCAGATCCCAACGTTATAGAATAAAATTTAAGATAAATAAAAAAAGTAACACTCTTGATACATGTAATCTTAGCAAGCAGGACCATATGAATTTAAGGCTAACCTAAGATACATGGTGTAACCCTGTGTAAAATCTCAACCAACAAACCGGCCAACATTGTTGAGCTAAGCTTCTAAGTGCACTACTGTGGGTGCTTTAATCTGGTATTTGATATTCACTTGGAGAATTAGAGCATTTTACCTTAATCATCATCTGTCTCAGTTATCTGACACAGTTCCATACAATACATTGAGAAATCCAGTTGTGTTTTCAGATCCTTGTTTTGCTCATTGTCTTTGTTAGGGTTTCTGGTACTGTAGTGATGCACAATGACCAAAAAGCAGGCTGGGGAGGGAGGAGAGGCTTTATTTGGCTTACATTTTCATATCACATTTAACCACTGAAAGAAGTCAGGACAGGAACACAGGCAGGGCAGGAACCTGAAGACAGGAGCTGATATACAGGCTGTGGACGGGTGCTACTTACTGGCTTACTCCCTATAGCATGCTCAACCCACTTCTTATAGAACCCAGGATCGCCAGTCCAGGGATGGATCACTTGCAATGGTCTGGACCCTCTCCCACCTATCACAGATCATAAATAAGAAAATGCCCTACAGCAGATCTTATGGAGGCATTTTCTCAACTGAGGTTTCCTCCTTTCAGACAATTCCAACTTGTGTGCCAAGCTAATATAAGACACATTCATGTAACCACAGTTTTCTCAAAAGAACTTGAAATGTTAATATGTTAATAATTGTTTAAAAGTTCAGAATATGATCCAGATATTTTAGCTTTCTTGCTCCGGAGGATTCTCCCTATAAACCTTACAAGGCAGAAAAAAGTCTCCTACTGATGCAAAATTGGTCCCCTTTAAGCAACATTGGCATTAGCATTTGTTCCTCTCGGCCAACTCTGATTTTATATTTGAGTTTTAAATGTTATTTAATGTATTTTGTTCCCTTAGAGAAGATGGGGTTTTATTTGGGGAAGAATGATGGAAAGGTAATAAAGAAGCATGTTTCGAGATTTTACTTGGTAAAATTTCTAATACTCTTGAAATTTACATTATATACACAGCCTTTTCCTTTTGTAAATGCAAAAGCAAACCAAATCCAAGATTCTAACCTTAAACATAGGATTGTTTATTAATAACTATTCAGTGAGAGCAATAGACAGCAAATTCAATCCTAGACTTCTTTATTTTAAGATGTCTGAGACATCCACCTGCATATGTCTTTTCAACAGATGAATGTTTGAGCTTGACTTTCAAGAGAAGAAGGTCAACTTGAGATGCAGATTTGTAAACATTCAATATCAAGATGTTAAACGAAATCTTGGGTATAGAGATGGACGTGCAGAAGAAAACACAGAGTGAAAGGGAAGGTCAAGAAATATACATAAAAATTGCAAAGCTAAAGTGAGGCAGAATAAGAAGGAAGCAAGGGAGCTATAAGAGAAGAGTCAGAAGATGAACATCACAGAAACCAAGAGTGGACATCTTTGTTCACTAATGCGGATTAGCCATAGGTTTCCTTTGGGAGATTTAGTAAATATGGAGATATATGGAAACACAATAGGAAAAATTCCAAGTTAGACATGGAGCAGTAAGATTGTAATTATGTGGGGAAGCTGACCGTTTGAGATGACCAAGATAAACCAAACCACTAGGAAGTCTGAATATGACTGGATGGAAAAGTAGAATAATTCAGTGCCAGAATGTATTGTGGAGCAGTGGGGGTCTAGATAGAGTATCAGATTAGACATACTTACCTTATTTAGATTGTTAGCAGTAACAAGTCATCAGAGAATTACAAATGACTGATGTTGAAAAGAAAAAAAATCCAAATACCAAGTTTACAAAACTCAAGAGAGTAAACTAAATTGAATGCAGCTGGAAAAAATATGAGGCATGGTAGCTGTCCTCTGGCAGAGAAGGAAGGGGGATATGCTCAGGCAGAAACAAGTTTGATTTGTAAAGAAATCCTACTGATGGCCTCTTTCATCAATGAAATGAAAGGTGAACTCAGGGCAGAACAGGGAGAATTACTCTGGGATTGCGGTTGTTAAGTAGAGTGAACTGGAACCACGACCTTTGAACATATGATTATCATATGCGGAACCATTTCCAGGCACTGTTGATTTTCTGAGTGAGAATGCTGATTAGTTTGTGGAGTTTGGGGATGACTGTTCCGTTCTGCCTGGAGCTGGCAAGGCTAAGGAAGATATCTTGCTTTGTGCCGAATCGGGCATTTTCCAAAAAGGTGCTTAAAATATGAGATACCTGAAGGCACTGAAAAATTAGGTAGAGGTGGTAGAAGAAAGGAGATTAAAGCAGAACAATTATTGTGTGTTCAAGGGAGAAGAATCTCAGTGTAAAGATACACATGGAAAGAAGTAAGATACATGCTCTTTGAGAACAGTTCTAGAGATTTCTATCTGAATATCAGACATTGTGGATTATAGCTGGGGAGGAGTCAGAGCTAAAGGAACCTTTGGGTCTTTGAAGCTGAGAAGATGCAGTAATCTGAGCAGAGAATAAACCTAAACCTATAGTATATCTGACTAATGATAAAGCAACTTTACAGGAACTCTTCATTAGCTGGGGAAAAGAGTCTTCATTCTCCATTCATGACAAAACACTTCCCATATTTAGAGCAGCCACCTTTTATCAGAGCAATAAAATCTTTGAAGCACAAAGAGGTCGTCCACAACATCAACTTCTAGCTCTAGAATAAGAGTCCTTACTAGTGATAACTGGGATTTATGTTTGTAGGTTATAAATTAAAAAAAAAAACAAAACCGGAATGTGTTTCTTCTGGTATCCATTGTAGAGCCCTGCTAGGAAGAATTAGACTGTGTTTAAATGAAAGATTTATTGTTGTGGTTTGGGATATTTCGTGAGAGAAAACAAAATGTAAAATTTCTATTCAACCTGGAAAAGATTAATTTTGAGGTTGTAAAATAGCCTAGAGCAAAGAGGGAATGTTTACGATATAACATTGTCGCTCTGTAGATACAAAGAGGTGTGAAACCTTCTCTATAGTCACATGCTTTTCTTCTAACTTTAATGTTTTACCTTTTGATGTCACAGATTTCAGAGATATTTCTATGAAATTAAAAAAGGCAAGATAAAGAATGATACAGAAGGTTCAACACAGTGAAATGGTGACTCCAAATATCTGCAGATGTGTGTGATTTGTTGCATCTTCCCTCTCTCTTATATACTTCGTAAATTAGCAAAATCTATGAAGAGTCTGACACAAAAATAATTTACTCTTGAGATCAATTTGAGATGTTTTGTAGTTTAAGTCCGATTTCTTTGATGTAAGTTTAAACGACAAAATGTGTTCAGTCTGCTGATTCTCACTTCTGTGTCTCCTACCAGTCAAAGGAGAAGATGTGTGAGAATACAGAGCCAGCGGAGAGTTCTCAAACCACCACAGCCTCACACACAACCACACAATTCAGGGTCCTGACCACCACCAGGAGAGCCGTGACATCCCAGCTGCCAACCAGCCTGCCCACGGAAGGTGCCCACAAGATTGTTTGCTTGTTTTTATAGGAAAGAAAAAAATTGCTGGGTAACACCTGCTTACTGGAGAAAAAGAATATTGTTTGTCTAATTAACTTCTCAAAGAATTTTTCAGATTCAGAGTTACCATGGGCAGAAAACATGCTGGTATACTTTATATATACTGTTCCTCTTGTTAAGCCTTAGCAGTTATCCATAATCTGGCTTCTTTTTTCCCCTTAGAAAAGAAAAATTCATTTCTTTTCATGTGGCTAAATTTAGTAGTCATCAAACTACAATTCTGATACAATAATCAAAAGAAATATGCACATAAATGACTATTGCCATGAAATTCTGAACAATAGATCACTTTACTCACAGTTATGCAGTGGTGTTTCCTGAATGCAGTCAATCAAAGAGTCACTGAACACAAAGTTGTTCTTGAAGGGTACCTTCTTTTATGGAGAAGAAGGAACTACTAGAGTGCTAATGCCTTGGTAAAATTCGTATGTGGAGAAAATATAATAGTCATTATTTGACAACTTTCTATTCTTTATAGTATAATAAGGAGTAGGGGGCAGAACATTTCTTTAGGGGAGAATATAGTTTCATGTCTTATTGTCATAAGTGTTGGTTTCTTTGGAGTAAGAATTAAATCTTAAGCCTTAGCTTTTGATTGAAATTTCAGTGGGTGTTATAAAGTAAGTGGAACAAAGAGAGGTGGAGGGCAAATGCCAATTGCATTGTGTTTCTCTTAAAAGCAACATATACTTAAATTCAAATAATTGGGGTCATTATTCTAAAGACTGTGAAAAATGTGTTTTAGTTGTAACTAACTTTCACACTAAAATATGACTTTTGAAATGGAACATTATACTCCATGTTTAGCCATTCAGATATAAATTTATTCATTACTGATACAAATTAATATAAATATTTAACTATTGATAAATCCTAATTATTCCTCTTTGTAAAAGTCTCAGTCTTGATTTGAAATAAAGTCCTATTATAAATTGTTTTAGAAAGTTAAAAATCTATTTCATGCTATAACTACATTTTTTATCATTCTCACAGAATCAAAGCTCAGATGTGTTACTAATATTTTAGCCTAAACCATCTCTGAGATAAATTTTATTGCTGTATCATGTAAAGGTGGATCCTGCTTTCCCACTGAGCTAGAAATTAGTCTAAAGTATAAAATCCAAGTGTTTGAGTTAAGACAGTTGCCCAGGAAGAGATTTGTACATCTTTGAAATCTTTTTCTGTTGTAATAACGGCCACCTTCTCTTTCAGATGACACAAAGATAGCCCTGCATCTCAAAGATAATGGAGGTAGGAGTGCGTACCTTTCTTCTGTAAATACTCGTAGACCCTAATTCATTCTATTCATTTTAATAGGCTAAAAGGGCCTGTGAGATTCCAAAGACAGAAGAGGGTTAGATTTCATTCTGATGGGTGTTTAACATGTGAAGAATTCAGTGGGTTGGGTCAAGAAATAAAAGGAAATCCTAATCCTTGTGTTTGTCTATCCAAGTGCATGGCCTCACCACTCTATGAGGTCAGAAAGTCAGTCACAGGTATTGCTGCGTTTTTTTTTCTTTTTTTTACTGCCCTTGCCCTTAGGGCAGTGTGTGTAGTTATCTGTGCAGGGTGGTTTTTTTGTTTGTTTGTTTGTTTTCTGTTTTTTGTTTTGCGAGACAAGGTTTTTCTGTAGCTTTGGAGTTTGTCCTGGAACTAGCTCTTGTAGACAAGGCTGGCCTGGAACTCACAACTCACAGAGATCCACCTGCCTCTGCCTCCCAAGTGTTGGGATAAAAGGCGTTTGCCACCACCGCCCGGCTAAGATTTTTTTTTCACTGAATTTTACGTTTGGTTGCTTTTCATATACAATTAAAAAGTAGGTCAGTAAACATGCAAATATATTACACTAGATTTTTTTCATCTGTTTTCTGATGCTAAGAACAAAATTTAAATATTCAAAAGAACATCTTAACAGTAACAAAGTTTATATAAGAAAACTTAGAAATATCTATACTGGTACTTGGAATTTTAAAGAAAAGAGTTTTTAATTAAACAATACAATGAAAATATATTAATTATGCTATAAAATATATTTTATTAAATTGTATTTGCTCATGTTTATGCTAGGTATTAATAAAAAATTTAATGAGAAATTCTTTAGGTAAAGAAAGGATTGCTACTTCTTAGTAGTGTCTAAGACATGAAAACTCTTTGAAAATGTCATCGTATATGCATGGATTACTTCTGCATTTTCATATGATTTACTTGCTGAAACTCACTCATGAGACTGAAGTAGTATGATCATGAGTTAAAGATCAGTCTCTGATAAATAAATAAGGAGAGCTTGTATCAAAATAACAACAACAAAAAGTGACGGGGGGATTAGTTGATAGATAGGTGATATAGTTAAGGCTCTTTCACTTGTGATTGTAAAAATTAGTTAAGTTACTCAATCAGCATTAAATAACCAACAGTCTGTGCATTCTCAGATTAATGTGCACATCTCTGGAGTTTACACCAGTTCATCTAAAAAAAAAATAGCTTGATTTTTCTGTTTATCTTTATACCAGCCATCCACTCTTTCATATCTGCCTATAGTGTTTTGATACAATAATTTCTTATATGTTATTGCATTAAATAAGTAAATGGAAACATTTACAAATGGCCATTGTGAATTACAGTTAGAAAAACTAAAACCATAGGTTTCAAAAGATATTAACAATTTCCCAATACAAGATTCCCCAGAGAGGGTTGTTAATAAGTATCTTTTGATCCTAAGTCCTAATGGCAGGAATGAGGAGACATTGTATTCCATGAAGTGGGGTGTTCATTCACACTGCTTCTGAAACCTTCTCTATGTAAAGAAGAAATTCCCAGACACCAGTTCAAGCACTCAGGATAAATCCTGGTCCCACTGCCAGTGATCCCACAGACTGCCCAAGTCTCACAACTGTCTCCCACATTTAGTGGGCCTAGTTTGGTGCTATGCAGGCTCCACTGCTATCAGTCCAGAGTCAGTGAGCTCTCATTAGCTCAGGTCAGCTGTTTCTGTGAGTATCACCATTGTGGCCTTGACCCCTTTGCTCATATTATCATTTCTCCCTCTCTTGGGTTGGGGGAAGGGCCTTGGTCTTGCCTCCAAGTGAAGTGTCAGACTTTGTTGACTCTCCATGGGATGTCTTACCCTTTCTGAGGAGTAGATGGGGGAGTGGGGGAGGAGGAAAGGAGGAGCAGGAGGAGAGGAGGGAGTGGAAATGGGGATATGCTATATAAAATGAGAAAAGATTGTATTAAAAGAATTCTTAATTTTAAAAAAAAAAAGGAGAGGCATTCCCAAGAAACTTCTGGGTTTTCTCTTATATTTGTGATAACAAAATCCTTAATATAAGTAGAAGTTTCATGTTTGTTTTCTTTTCCTTCCTTCATTTTTCTGCTTGTTTGTTTAATTGTTGTTTAGAAGATTCTATAGTGTTAATAGAAAAAAAAAGGATTACTGTGATCTTTCCTTAATTAGTATAAGATTCTCTGAGTGTGCGATTATTAAAGTTTCTTCAGTGAAGAACTGTTTACAGCCTTGGTTCACTCACTCATCCATTCAGTCATTCTTCTGGCTGCTCGCTATGGCTTTGTGAAGTCTTGCTGTAGGCTTGCAGCTGACAATAATGGGTTAAGCAACTTTTTTACTTCACTGAATATGCCCATTAAAGGGTCTTTAAAATGAGGGACGATATTCTGTATTCGACTATAAAATTGTCTTATAAATAATCTTGCACATAATTAATATTTTGTGCAATGCACATTGAAAGGAGATCTCTAATCTATTACCAATTCTTCCCAGTAACATCTTAGTTTTGTTTAAAGCATTGAAGAACCACACAACAAATTAATACATTCTTAAGCTATGCATTAGAAATAGATTATGTTGGTGGGGTGGGTTTAAATAAACCACATAATAAAAAATTTGAAGTACATTTTACAATGAGTTGTTGCATTTTCAGATTGTATGTAGATAATTGATTAAACAGGGAGTCATCAGAATCCAAAATATCACAGAAGTATGAACATTACCCATGCCTCTGATTGTTTCAAGTACAGTTATCGTAGACGAATCCAAGCCTAATTATGTGTGTCACTTCTGAGAATGTTTGGCTGCAGACAGAGCTTGATAGACTTCCTAAAAGCCTTGTGTTTGAGCCCTAGCACTACAAATAAACGAAAAGCACTTAGGAAGATCAAAGTTTCGTTCCTAGAACTCACCTCAGCAGACTCAAACTGTTTTTAAAGCTAGCTCCAGGGGATCTACTACCTCTGGTCACTCTGGACACCCATACATTTATATGCATAATTTAAAATAATAGCATACAAATCTTTAAAGCAATACAAAATTTTAGATTGTTTAGCATAAATAGAGACCCCAGTTTCAATACCCACGAAAAGGAAACTAGAAACAGATTGAAAACAAACAAACAAAAAAACCAAAATGGTTGCTATAGTTCAGTGGGGCAGAGAAGCGATGGGAATTGATGTAGGAGACTCCCTTTCAGTGAAGACTTAATAAAATTGATTCTTCCTCACAATAGAAGGCTCTTATGTTTGGTTAAACATAAGAAATGCCAACAGTGAGCTGTTTTACTTACACCCACAGCATTTTATTTCTTTTTTATAATAATTTATTATACTAAATAATATTTCATTTTTTTTATAATCACACATTGGTTTCCTGTTCTGCTGAAAACAGCATTCTTTAATGCTCATGTGTAACCCGATTGCATCATAATCAGTGACCTTTAGTCTCCAAAACCCAGACATATCCTGTATCTTATGTTCAAAATTTAATTTCAAGTTCCTTCAGCCTAATTTAATTTAAAGTTCTTGGCTTCTCTAGAAATTCTTCTTTAACTCACCTGGAAAGGGAACCTAGATTGTGTTCTTAGAACTCATAAATATGTGGATAATTGCTATATGCACTTGAAACAAAGTCTCTTTTCAATATTCAGATCCCAGGGATGGTTTATTAAAAGAACTGTAACTTTTTTGTTGAGGGGGGGGGGGTTGGTTTTTTGAGACAGAGTTTCTCTGTATAACAGCCCTGGCTGTCCTGGAACTCACTTTGTAGACCAGGTTGGCCTTGAACTGAACTGTAACTTTTAAGAATGTCTGCACTCTATATATTAGCAGGCATGAGTACTCACATCCTTTCTGACATTTGAATAGGTTAACTTCAAATGTCACTCACCACCTAATTAGAAACGTAAGTGTCTTCAGGATGCAAACTGAAGACAGTTATCCCGGACACAGGAGAGGTTTGCAAGCTGAATCAAGAGCAAGCTTTTTAATGAAACAAAATTTTCAACTAGAATTCAACTCAATTTAGCTAACCTAACTGTGCTTTTCTGCTATTCTGCAATTGTGAAAATTATTTCAAGCTCCATAACCTTGAACAGATTTCATTATTTTAAAATAATTTTTTTATTATTAAAAAATTTATGATTTATTTATCATCAGATCACTTAAAGTACCAAAATTGTATTATTTATTAATTGCCTTAAAGGTTATTCCTCTTGATTGATCTGAGATTTTTTTTAAAAATGTTTGAGCATACATTTTTAATTGCTAATATTTAAAGTGAGCCCTGCACACAATCCTGGTATAGAATACAAGGCCAAGCCTGCCATTCCTTCTTCTTGATAAAAATTTACTAAATTTGGAGCACAGAAGTCTGGCTTTTCTAGGTCAGAGGGTGTTGTCTGCCCTAAGAGATGATGCAATTTCTGCATCACAGCATGTTAGGTTATACTAGTGAATGTCTCTAGAGTGGACGATTGTGAAAAGTCACCAGAGATGGCTCTGAGGTTTCCGTGGCTCTAGCTCAGGTTCTGTTGTGTTCAGTTTCCTATGTCTAACTTAATCCTAAGACATTTTGTCTGAAAATAAATGTTAGAGCAGGATCCTGACTTTCACAAAACTGCTTCTGAGGTGTTGTTTTTGTTTAGTCTGTTGTGGCAGATCAAGCGTCTACTGTTACATTTATCCTTCAGTCAAATTATTTTTTTGTCTCTCATACATAAATCATCAAAGCAGCTTGTCTTCCACTGTGTTTGTGCAGCCTTGTTGTGTTTTTTCATCTACTTCCTTTGTGTAGATCACAGTCTTAGAGCAAAGGGAGGTTGTTATTTGCTTTTGACAGGCTATTGAATATCTATCACCTTCTGTTTGGAACACTGTAAAATATCTTGGCATTTTGTTTTATCTCTGGCTTTGTTTGGCTACTTTTCATGCTAGCCCTAACTGGATTCTGGGCACATATCTAG